TTGTAGCTAACGTTATGCATCTTTTCAATGAATATGTTTTTATTTTAAGTTTTATTTTAACTGTGTTTGTTACTTTATATAATAATTTTAGATTGGCATCATTTCAGAGCACTTCGTATATTGCTTGTATTTTTAAACACAGTTCTCAACTTGATAATAGTACCAGAAATTATTTGAACACTTATACATTAATATTGTCTCTACAACAATAGTGGAAAAATACTTGTGACTTTCTATGACAATGATAAGTTTTCCAGGTCTGTTCTATGATTTGGCCAAGCATTCAACCAGTGATCTGTTCTGTTGTTTTAAACTTAATGTTCCTTACATGTTTTTAAATTCTGCACAGTGTTTAATATAACTGTCTTAATATAACAATGTGTATATGTCATACATGGAGCAATACTAGCAGGCAGAACACAGGCTGGATATCCGTGTTGTAAAGATACACATTTTCAAGTAATACTTAATGATTGATATAGGCTCTTTTTTCCCTTCGCATCTGTCCACTCCTTACTGCTGATGTATATAAACATTTTAACACTTCTATTTATTCACCACAATTAGTTGCTAGACATTTAGAAAGAATACAGATTTTATAATTTGTGGTTTTGTTTTGTTGTTATTCCTTTGATTTTTATAAAAAATATTTGTCCTGTAATTTAGTTAACAATTTTATTTCCCTCCCCAAATAATAAGTTATGTTGGTTAATGATAGCAAAAATTGAATAGCGTGTGTAAAATGAATCCTTTATTACAGATTATGAGCCAAAAATCTAGTAATTTATTTTTCTATATGACTTTTATCCTTTTTAAAAGAGTATTCTTTGCATAGACATGTACAGACACAACTGGTAATGATGTATCAGTCTAGGTACGATGCTGTATGTATGCTAATAGAAGGATACTGTCTTTTTTTCAGATTTGAACTGAAAGGTATTCATTGTTTCTTGAAATAAAAATCAATCCGTTTTCAGATTCTTTAGCAGTTATGGATAGAATTTGTGGAGTGATGAAAGTTATGAAATTTTACATTGCTGAAGGGGCAGATCTGACATGCCTTAAAAGCATTTTTTCACCGAAGCAGACAAATAGTAGCCAGTCAGCTAGAAAGGCAGTTAGTGTGATTGATTACAGCACACAGTACTATGCATGTCCATGCATCTAAGATATAAATCTGAATTTGCTGAGCTTCACAGTAAGGTGCTGACTTGTGTGATTTTTGTGGAAGTCTGAAGACAGAAACATTCCATTTCACTTTTGGCATCCATGATAATGGATTACTATTGATTTGTTGCACTAACTAAATAGCTACTGCTCAAGAAATGGTATTTCACCAACTTTCTTCTAATGAGTCATGACTTACTGAAACATACTTCATGGTGTTTTATCAACTCCTAAAACATCTCATAGTAACTTTATACAACTATCATTAGTCTTCAAACTTCCTTTTCTAGGAAGGGTTCGGAAAGCGGTGAGATGCCAATCATAGAACATCCTGAAAGAAATGGAATATTTGGATCTTTTATCAGAGTTCAGGCATGGGATAGAAAGAGCTTTGGTTTCACAGTAGATAACCTATGTAGACTTGGATGAGAGAAGTGCACCTGTCCTGTTTCTTTTAGATACTAAAATGTGACCTTTAGAAGCATTGATCATGGTAACCTTTTAGACCAACTTGTTGGGGAGTTGGAGATTGAAAACACAGGGATTCTGCTCCTTCCTCAATAGAAAGTTCCCATCAATGGGAGTAGGAGAGAGGAGAGGCTGACTTTGAAGGCTGCTTCCTTGTTGGATGCAAGAGGAGGCAGTCCTCATTTCCCCCTATTTAATATATACACGAAGCCATTGGAATGGTTACCTGGCAGTTCAGGGTTTGGTTCCATCAGTTTGCTACTTGATAAATTATTAATCTGGGCCAAAGTGATGGTGTTGTTGGCCTTGGTTTCATACCTGTATGTTGAGATTGTGGATTAGAGAGAACAGGCTAAAATTCAGTCCTAGCAATAAAGATTTATTGTTTGTCCATTTTAGGGTTTCTTGGTGGGTCCAATGGTATCTTTGAATAGGTAAGCATTATCCCTGAAATAGGAAGTCCATGATTCCAGAGTTTTCTTGAAACAGTTGGCAGAAGCTGTGGGCAGAGGGCCTTTTTCCTTTGCCTTAACTAGAGTGCCAATTACAACTCCACCTGGGATGAGACAACTTTGTTACAATGACTCATGCCTTTATTATCAGCCACCTGGATTATTGCAACACAATCCACATGGGGATGCCTTTAAAGATCACTTGGAAGCCTGACTTGCAAGTGTTTCGTGTAACATTTTGCAAACTATTGTTAGAAAAGAAAGCAAGAGTTCATTGTGATATTCATTTTTATTTTGTGGGCTTAATGTAGATATCTGGGTGATAATTAAGTAAAGAATATTGTGCTGGATACATCTTTGCTCTGATCTAGCTTGGCTTATATATATATATATATATCCTTAGAATAAAGAGAAAAAATGAAATCAATTTTGTTGTATCCAGAAATCTAGAAATGCATGTTAAGGAAGAAATCTCTTTGTGTGAGTCAGTTTTTCATTTTGCTAATCATATTCTTGAATGTGTGTCTGCTTTAAAAAACTCAAATTGGTGCATCTTGGCTTCCAGTCAACTTTTTCATGTACTCCCTTCCATCAACAAATATGTCACTAGTGCTAGCATTTTTGTAATGTGGGTGTTATCAGATGGTAGATAAGACCATCACTCATAGCAATTTATGGCTTTCAAGATTTAACAGATTATGCAAAATTGTAATACAGCACAGATTACCATGACAACTGTGATAAAAGAACTCAAAATGGTACATGCTGACAAACCACATGGGATGGTGTACAAACTGTTTCCAATTGCTAGAAACGAGGTAATGTAGAATAAAAGGATTGTACTCTGAATACTTCACAGAGTACTTCCTAAGTCTAAAGTGGAAATATTTTTTTTAGGACCCAGACTAAACAGTTCTGTCTAGGACACATTCACTAAAACCCAAAGACATAACTGCTTGTATTAAGCTTAAGTTTGGAATTGCAAATTCAAAAACAGAATTTGGACTGTAGTATCTTGTGTGGCATAATTTAATTTAGTGACCTGACCAGCTTATTGAAGATGAAAAATAACTTGTTGTATTCTAAGAAAAAAGATACCAGGAAAAATCTTGCATTTTTTAGTTAAAAACACTGGATGTGCTATGGGTATGTTACATTTTATTGCCTAAATATGTCTGTTAGTAATATGGTTTTGTTTTCTAGAAATACTGGTTTGTATCTCTTTATTTGTGTCTTTGTATTTTAAAAATAAAGTCAAATCTGCAAGTTGAATTGCACTTCTGATGGGCGTTTCTTATACTGTAGGAGAAGGATGATGTGCTTACAGTGGCATGCATCCCAACAAAGCATTGAGATGAATACAAGACTATGATAATCTGAAGCAACTCTTTGGTAGCTCCAAAGGAACCTCTTTCAGAGACGGATACTCACATAGATAATCTGTTTTTCTATCTTCTGTTTTCCATTGCTTGGGTGTAGATCTACTAAATATTATATCCAGTTCTATTTATCATATATATAAGAACCATATCCTTACTTGTGATTTGAAATAATAGAAAATAATTGTTGTTCTCCTGCCACGTCTCTTTCAGATACATTATTGGCTGAAGTTGTATTTGAGTTAAAATATTTTCAACAAGAAATGCTTTGCTTAGTAGAGTACACTTTTAATTTTTGTGCAGTATCTAGATTTCATAAAACAAACCATGAAAATTTATAGCCCAATAAAAATATATTTACAATATAATACAATACATACATTGTAGTCTTCATCTGACAGTAACTCATTCATTTGGGTTGGTTGATCCGTTTCTCACTTCACTTTCATATTTACTAAAAGAGGTCTGAGTACGTGTATCTCAAGTACTTAAGATTTCTTTAAAAATAATTTTGGACTGTATAGTTTTTGGAGAAGCTTTCTTGCAAATAATTCATTTGTAATTCCATAATCTTTAAGAAAAGGCTAATGGAATATATTCTGTTCTTTCCATTTTTAACTTCTGTATGCTATTCCCATTTCCATTTCTTTTCTTTCTTTTTTCTTTTTTAAAAAGGAAAGTATTATTTCTGATCTAATAACAGAATGATCATTATGCAATGGAAGACTCCGCATCCAGTTTCTGTTTGATTGATGATTATGTGCCATACAGATAGATTTTCTCCCATGATGATCTTCCCTAACCTCGTCTTTCAGCTCTTTCAAGTGTGCACTCATTGCTAATAGAATGGAATGTAGCTGATCATCCTCTTTTTCACTTTTGTTACATCTTTCTCAGCATTAGAACCTTTCCAGAGAGCTAGATCTTTGCATATGTGTCCTAATTAATTTGACCTTGGGTCTAGCAAATTAGATAATCTCAATAATTATTATACACTTTGTAGATACATTTCCAAAAGAAGTTGTTACTGAAGAGAAAGAAAAAAAACTCTGCAGGATCAATTAAAAAGTCTACTTCAGATTCTGTTTTCAGCAGTGTCTATCTGCATGTTCTGAAAGTAGCCTCACAAGATTCACAGGGCCAGGTTAGGCTTATCAGTGCAGATTTATTTTATGGAATATTCTCCACCTGCAAGTGTGAAATGTCCACATTCTGCAGGCATTTTGAAAATTAGATGAATATAATTCCAGAAGGCATTCAGCAGCTGATTTCTGTTGTCTTTCATTAGTTATATATGATTTTTAGTACTTTGTTCTTTTAATTTATTGCAGTTTGTCCAGGCCTATGGAACAGAAATAAATAAATGATAAATATTTATATATATATATTATTATTAGCATCTTTTTGGAAGAAGTGGCAAATGTTTTTTTGCTAAGAGTTAACAATAAATTGATGGCATATAATCCAAGTTTTTAATGATATTTATGATTCCTTTTAAGCTGAAATTCACAATAAAATTTTCTGTGTCTTATAGTAACTTTGAATACTAGAAGTTGTGAGTGAACATTATAAAATATCTCTGCTTGGTTTTGGAAGAGTCCCTCTGTTTCAATATATCTGGAGATGGACATAACTCATACTATACAGGTAGTCCTTGATTTATGACTACAATTGAGCCCAAAATTTATAGTGCTAAGTGAGACATTCATTAAGTGAGTTTTGCTCCATTTTATGACTTTTCTTGCCACAGTTGTTAAGTGAATCAATGCAACTGTTAAGTTAGTAACCTGGTTGTTAAGTGAATCTGGTTTCCCATTGATTTTGCTTGTCAGAAGGTTGTAAAAGTTGATCACATGACTCTGGGACATTGCAAACATCATAATAAATATGAACCAATTGCCAAGTGTCTGAATTTTGATCACATAACCACGGGAATGCTGCAGCAGTCATAAGTGTGAAAAACAGTCCTAAGTCATTTTTTCAGTGCTGTTGTAACTTTGAATGGTCACTAAATGAACTGTTGTAAGTCGAAGACTACCTGTACTCATGTAGGTGCTCCAGCCTTCTAGAGCAGAGTCTTTCAACCTTGGTACCTTTAAAATACATATTCCTCATTGCTTGCTGGGAAATTCTTGGAATTTAAGTCCTCAGATCTTAAAATTGCAAAGGTTGAGAAACACTACTCTAGAGTAGGGGTCCCCAACCCCAGTCCATGACCAGTACCGGGCCGCGAACATGCCAGCAACCAGCCCACACAAATGGATAAAACCTAAGTGGAATTAGGGAATGCTAAGTTGTCAAGAGCATATTTAAAATAACATCTTTTTTTTAGTTTTATACATTTTTCATGCTTTTTTTAATTGCAAGAGTTATTGTGTGCCCCCAAATCTGCATTACTCTTCCAGATTTTCAGCTTTTAAAGTGACTGTTGTACAGCTGCATTCCAGAATATTAGAGCATTCTGTCAAGTAAGACCAGTTTAGAGCAAGGCAGGGGAGCGTCATTGAAATATCTTGTTAGCTGATAACTCATGTTAAGATCTTTTAGTTTTTAGGCAATTAAAATAGCAATTCTAACTTATATTAATACAGTTTTGGGAAATATAATGAATCTTTCATTCCTTATAAACAGTTAAAGAAAAAATTGTTATGAACTGTGATTTTATATCCTTTTTTTTTTGCAGAGCAACGCCCTATCTAAGCATTAATGTCTGCTTTTTTTCTCTTATTATATTACAGAACTTCTAATGAAGATTTTTTTTTGTTGTCTAAGCACCAGTAACTAAGTTTTCTGATATTGAAGCTATCTGGATCCAACATGTAGCAGATAACTACTATGCCGCCATACTTCTAGACCACATTTTGTTTTTTAAACCTCCTTGTATATCAACAGTGAACGAATTATCTTTATTCCTCTTTTGGATTTTGTTAACTAAAATTCAAGTTGGATTTCAAGTGGTATTAATTAAACTGAGGAACAATGAGTAGTAGTCTTGGAAAAGAAAAAGATTGTAAAGAGAAGGATCCCAAAGTGTCTTCAGCAAAAGAAAGGGAGAAAGAGGCCAAGGCCTCTGGTGGATTTGGGAAAGAAAGTAAAGACAGAGAATCTAAGACCAAAGGGAAGGAAACCAAAGATGGGAAGAAGGACTCCAGTAGTGCACAGCCAGGCGTGGCTTTTTCAGTAGACAACACAATAAAACGGCCCAATCCAGCTCCAGGGGCCCGTAAAAAGTCCAGTAATGCTGAGGTGATCAAAGAGTTAAACAAATGCCGGGAAGAAAATTCAGTACGTTTGGACTTGGCTAAGAGGTCTATACATCTGCTCCCATCATCTATCAAAGAGTTAACCCAGTTGACGGAACTTTATTTATATGGAAATAAGTTACAGTCACTACCTGCTGAGGTAGGCTGTCTTGTGAATCTGGAAACTTTGGCCTTAAGTGAGAACTCACTCACCAGCCTTCCGGACTCTCTTGGTAACTTGAAACAGCTTCGCATGGTTGATCTACGGCATAACAAATTGAGAGAGATTCCTCCTGTGGTGTATAGGCTAACTTCCCTTACTACACTTTATCTGCGCTTTAATCGTATCACTTCAGTGGAAAAGGATATCAAGAACTTGTCCAATCTCACCATGCTAAGCATACGGGAGAACAAAATCAAACAACTCCCTGCAGAAATTGGTAAGAACTTCTTAAAATCCTGTATGAAGTGCTTATCTCCATCTACAGTGGTATTATTGTATGTCTGCTATCAATAAGCAAAATTTCTAATAATTAAAACATATTGACATTAATTAAGCCTTGGTGGCACAGTGGTTGAAATGAGGCTTGAGGTTGACTCAACCTTCCATCCTTCTGAGGTTGGTAAAATGAGGACCTAGATTGTTGGGGGCAATATACTGTCAATATAAACCGCTCAGAGAGTGTTGTAAACCACTGTGGAGCGATATATAAGTCTAAGTGCTATTGCTGTTAATACAGAAAAGTATTAAGCGGCTTTTACCATATATTCAAAATTTCATTTTTAATGAATGGTAATTTTTAACCACTGTCTCATAGATTTTTTTCACTTGAAATAATACATAAAAAGATAAAGGCTTTCCCCTGCCCAGTCATATCTGACTCTAGGGGGCAGTGCTCATCTCTGTTTCTTGGCCAAGGGAACCAGCATTGTCCGTAGACATTTCTGTGGTCATGTGGCCATCATTATTAAACACTGATGTGCACGGAACGCTATTACCTTCCCACCAAAGTGGTACCTATTTATCTACTTGCTTTTACATGCTTTCAAACTGCTAGCTGAACAGATGCTGGGGAATTAACAGGAACTCACCTTGTTGTGCAGTGCTCAAGTCTTGAACCTGGGCTCTCAGATTTCCAGTTGACAAGCTCAGTGTTTTTAACCGCTGAGCCATTGTATTCCCCCATGATACATATTCATTTTTTAAAATTTGATATTGAAGCTGATGTTTACTTCAGAATTGAATGACATGAATTAAAACTCCGGGATACTTTTGGGATTTGTCTCATTGCCATCTATGAAGTTCCTTTTGAAAATAATTATTTCATTAGTTCTGAAGTCAGCAATGCTATGCCCATAAACATAAGTCTGTTCTTCAGCCCCCAGGTGACCTATCTTACTCTGTTTACAATTAAAAAAATACTTGCAATGGATTTGTTTCAAAGTGCAACTATGATTTCTAGTCATACCATCTTAACTTTGCACAATGTGTTTGGGCGTAGAGTGAAAATCGTGAAATGTTTAGAAGCACCAGGGGAAAAAAAATATGCCGAGGCAGGGTACAGTTGGGGAAAAGACTGCAATGTACTAAGGAAATCTATCTAGGAAGGAGGAGAAGAGAAATATTTCATAGAGGTAGAATATTTGGCTCAGAATGAAAGAAACCATTCTTAGAAACTGTAACATATCTTAACTGTACGAGCCAACTGTATGTGAGATGAGTTACAAATCTTGAGATTTGTCATTTTGCTGCTGCTATCGGGAAAATAAGATTTCTTATCTAACTTACTGTACTTCTTAACATATTTGATAGCATAGATAGCATAATTTTCTCTTCTCTGTATAGTTTAAAATGAACAATAGATTACAATAAAAATTGTAAAAATGGAGAAAATTTCCCTCTTTTAAGATCTAATGTTTTCCATATTTGTGTATGAAATTTTCTATTACATTGAAGCAGCAAAAATGAAAAGTGGGATAGAAAAATGATAAATGATAGTGTAGCGGGGCTGTCTTAGAGTGTTTGCAGGAGTTTGGCTGGGAAGGGAGAGATTGGGACAGCTGCTGCTGGTTTTGGGTGTGGCAGGGGTGGATGAAGGGAAAGGATAGAAAAAGGGAAGGAAGGAAAGGGAAGGGGTGGCTGTTGGAGTTCGTCAGGTGAAGGTAAAGAGGGATTGGAGGTTTTAAGCTAACCCCTTCGTGTGGAGGAGGGGGAGAGAGAAAGAGAGAGAGGGAGTGGAATTTTATTGCTCTCCTTTGTAAAGAGGATATCTCAAACGGAGGTGAGAGAGAGTGTGTGGAAAGGAAGTGGCTGGGGCTGTTAGCCAGGGACTTTTAACAATAAAGATAAGGGGGGAGGGTTTTGATGCCGAGACCTGGCTGAGAAGAATCAACAGAAAAAGAGGAGAGACTGGTCGTAGCTTCTGTTGCTGTGAAGCCTGGAGGCTACTTGGATTGTGACTACTGCTGCTTGTACAAGTTTTAGACTTTGTGGGGGGGGGGGGGCAAGCCATTACTATAGCATGCTGACTGCTTTTGTTTCTACTACTGCCTGGAGCCGGGGTTTTCCTCCACCCCACTTGATCTTGAACGGTCATTGAGGAATCATTAACTATTGCTGCTACAACAGCCTTGGCCAGTTGGATACCATCACAGCATTGACTGTTGGAGCTTGGGGGGGGGGTGGTCATCTTTGTTCCTGGAAGCCCCTTCTTGATGACAAGAGCCTGCTACTTCCTAACTCTGCCTAAGCTCCGGTTAGAAGAGATACCTTACCAACCCCTAGAGAATACAGTGGCAGAGCTTGACGAAGGGGGGCAGGGCTGGGAGGGCTTGGGCTTTGGCGGCCTCTGATCAGGTAACACTATAATAGTAACAGACTAAGCACAAAAAAATAAAAAAGAACTATAGGTGTATGTCTGGCCAAATTCAAGGCATTTATATAACTTGAAATATTGCTTCAGGTTTAGTTTGGGTATTTTTATATATATATATGGCTAGTGCAGACACCTTGTAATAATTTTTTGCTAGAAGCATTTTTTCTGAAATTGATTATTATAAAACTACTTAGTTGTATTATTTAATATTATCCAGTATATGTCTAGATGTCCTCAAAGGATTCTGAACTTGCATAATTTCTCAGTTCAAAAGTTAAAGTTGTACAGCAAAACAATCTAATTTTATATGCCTAAATTGTTAAATATAGGTTAACTTGTAGAAAGGATAGCATAAGTTGAATTCCTAATTAGCCTATATATTTCCCAAAGGACAGGGAAATTGTTTTGTTTTCCAGTATGCCAAGGAAATTATATTTCAGTTCAGACTCATGGGTTCCAACGATGTATGTGCTACCTCCTGAACACAGACATGACAGCATAGGAATAATAAAGTGTTACTGGCCTTGCTCTTTTTATTACAAGTAACAGCAAATTAATATAATAACTGATACTTCATACATTTGAGGCAAAGAATACTGTGTTAAAAGCTTGGAGACTGTAAAAGTATTTCTGCTAGTCCAGTGGCATGGGTGGCGAACCTATGGCATGGGTGCCAGAGGTGGCACTCAGAGCCCTCTCTGTGGGCATGCACGCTGTCACCCCAGTCCTAGACCTTCAGTTGGGTTTTTTAAAACCTTTTTGCTTTAGGCCTCTGCAGCTGTGTGCAAAAAAAAAAAAAAAAAAAGGTTCAATCAGTCAATTTCAACTTCTCGCGGGAAAAAAAAGATCTTGCAAAGTTGGAATTGATTGAACTTTTTAGTCCCTGCCGTTACCACAGCAGCCATGCCCACCCAATGGGCCACACCCACCCAATGGGCCACACTTACCCGGCACTCAACAATGCATAAGTGGGTTTTGGGTTGCAGTTTGGGCACTCGGTCTCTAAAAGGTTCACCATCACTATGCTAGTCTGTAAGCCTAGTATGTAAAATGCAAAAAAATGTTTCTGTTTTTTCCAGTCATTGTGAAACTAATGTACTTGGCGTAATTCCTAATGGTTTTCTTTCTATTTCAAGTTTCTGTTCACTTCTTTTGCTTCTATAGCCTTGTGAAACAGTCTTTATTTTCACTATATGATTTAGTGCAGGTTTTATCATGATATAAGGGACATTAAAGGTCAATCTACTTAAAAATTAAAAAAAAAATAAGAAAAACAGACCAAGTTAACAGTCAAGCCAAGACTGTTAGCTATTTTGTATATTGTTTATGATGTTTTGAATTACTTTCCATCAAATAAATTGTTGCAAGAAGAAAATCTGTCTGAAAAGTGTATTTGTGAAGGGTGGATATGAGAAAATGGGCACCACGAGAAAAGAAAAAGGAGAAAGTAAATTGAGGGAAAATAAGAGCTAGCTGCTAGTGACATGAAAGAGATTTCAGATTCCAGAGTTCACTTTCCATGATCTTTCTCCAGCAGGATGGCTGTAGAGTCCAAATGGATGGGTTCTATGACGGCCTTCCTGCCTGGCAGACTGGGTAAAAACTTCGGCCACACCCCTTCCTTTGGGCGTGACCCCAGTTTTAACTCAGTCTCGAAGCCTGGTAGACGTGCGAGAAGCAGCTCTCAGAACAATAGGAATTTAGCCCAAAAGAAAAGGGAAAGAAGCCTCTTCCTTCCATTTGAATGAAAAGCTCTCTGGCAGCTGATAGAACTTAAAAGGCACAGCCAGGATCGGCGGAGTTGTGAGTGGGGCGTCAGGGCGGCTAGCAGGGGAGGCTTGGAATGGGGCCGGATCGCTCGTTGATATCCGGCCCGCCGACCAGCTGTTTGGCGCGGGGATCCCACCGGGTTGTTCGTCGCCCTCCGATCCGACAAACAGCTGAGTGGCCGGCTCGGCTCGGCCGACAGAACTGAGGCGCCGCTCAGCGCGAAACAGCTGAGCCGCGCGGGAAGCGGCAAACTGCGGCGCTGCTCGGCATCGATCAGCTGAGCGGCGCGAAAAGCAGCCCTGACTAGGACAGGAGAGGCGCAGCTCCTTTAAACCAAAGGAGTCTCCCTTACTACTGAATTCAAAGATCCGCCATCGTTTAAACTGCATGGCTTCCCGGGCTATCTTTGGGAGGCGTGGCTTCCTCCCATTCGCCATTTTGAACAAGCGGATTCCCGCTGCATTTTCCCTTGGGGGTGGGGCTACCACCCGGACTCCTTTTCCCTGCAAGCAAAGAAGGGATCCCTTTAGGTAAGGATCTGAGGTTCCTCAAGAAAATAAGGCAAGAGGAAGGAAGAGGGAAAAGGAAGAGATCCGTTTTGATCGTGGTCTGCTGCTACAGCCACAGACTGGGTTCACCATCACTATGCTAGTCTGTAAGCCTAGTATGTAAAATGCAAAAAAATGTTTCTGTTTTTTCCAGTCGTTGTGAAACTAATGTACTTGGCGTAATTCCTAATGGTTTTCTTTCTATTTCAAGTTTCTGTTCACTTCTTTTGCTTCTATAGCCTTGTGAAACAGTCTTTATTTTCACTATATGATTTAGTGCAGGTTTTATCATGATATAAGGGACATTAAAGGTCAATCTACTTAAAAATTAAAAAAAAAATAAGAAAAACAGACCAAGTTAACAGTCAAGCCAAGACTGTTAGCTATTTTGTATATTGTTTATGATGTTTTGAATTACTTTCCATCAAATAAATTGTTGCAAGAAGAAAATCTGTCTGAAAAGTGTATTTGTGAAGGGTGGATATGAGAAAATGGGCACCACGAGAAAAGAAAAAGGAGAAAGTAAATTGAGGGAAAATAAGAGCTAGCTGCTAGTGACATGAAAGAGATTTCAGATTCCAGAGTTCACTTTCCATGATCTTTCTATCTCAGCTTTCACTCAGCTTTGATTCATGGGCGGATCATTCATTAGACTTAGTGTTCACTTTGGAACAGATGGTGCATGATCTGAAAATGAGGAACCAGTATAATTAGTCCTTTGCCATAGGTGTCAAATTGCACATTATTTTCATTCCTGACTTGGCTTATCCTGGGCATCTGATGGATTCCAGCTTAATTGCTGAATTGTCCTGCTAGGTACAATTCTTATTGGTTTTCTGCAGAACAATTTTTCTAAAAAAGGCTAAATTATCAGGTATTGGCAAGTGATTATTAATTTTCTTGCTTGATAGCTGACACCAGGCTTCTGTCTGTTTATTTTATTGATGCTCAGTATAGCTGACTATAAGTTAGTCTGCATAATTTCTAATTATGTAACTTGCTTGAACTCTTTTGGCTGGACATCTTTTTTAAGAATACATTTTTGGACTTCCGGTGGATTTTGCGTGCGTGATGGCGGCTACTTTGTAGCCGTCCTCCTGGGTAAGTGTAAGAACCGCTATGAACAGCAGATATCAGCTGTTCAGCGGTTCAAAATCCCCCTCCCGGGCAAAGGGGGGGGGTAGAGAGTGTCTGAATAGTGGTAGAGCCTCTTTCGCACCCCCCAAGTTTTTTTTTTTGGGGGGGTGAAAGGAGTGCTCCCACGGAGTTCAGACTTGTCTCCGCTTCCCAGCTGTTTTTGTCCTCAGGGACAAAACGAGCCGCCGCAAACACCTCCGTGCTTAAAGAGAACTGGTGAGTTTTTTTTTTTTTAAATGGACAGAGCTGAGTAGAGGATTTAGTTTTTGCTTTCTTTGACTTATTTGGATTTTAAGTTTTAAGATTTGTTTCTATTTTTATTCTCTCTTTTTATTTTTTTTCTTTGTTGAAAGGGAAAGTAAAATGGCGATCGGCAAACTCCTCGGTGTTTTTTTTTCTGGAAGTTAGAATGCTGACCGGCAGGCTTTTTGGTGTTTTTCTTTCTTTCCTTTCCCTTTCTCTTTTTATTTCCTTATGATTGGAATGGTTGTTTTTGGTATCTCTAAGTATTTTTTTTGGAACGGACTTTTTTTATTTAATTATTTTTTTTTTCCCCTTCTCCCTTTTTTTTCCTTTGAACTCCCTTTTTTTTTTTATTGTAATGACCCTTTTTTGAAGGACTTTTTTTCTGTTTAATTTTTTGTAATTTTTAAGAAGGAGTAAAACTTTTTTTTAATTCTTTTTCTCTTCCTTTTTTTCCCTTTTTTCTTTTTATTATAATGACCTTCTTTGGAGGGAGTTATATTTTTGAAGGAATTTTTATAATTGCTTAAGAAGGACTAAAGGTTTTTCTTTAAGATGGCTCCAAAGCGTCCAGGGATTTCTACAGTTTCTAAATCAACAGTTTCACCCTCTTCTGGGGGTCAGCTAATAACTATGAAGGACTTGCAAGACATGATGGGAGATGTTATAATTCAAATTAGGGCAGAAATGAAAAAGATTTTAGAGGAAAACAATAAGATCTTGAGACAAGATTTTGTTTTGGCTTTAGAAGGTGTTGCTTCTGTTCTTGAAAAGGTGAACTCCCATGTGGAAGAGGTAGCTGAAAAAGTGGACATAATGGAGGGGAAAATTGAAAGTATGGAAAAAGAAATGGAAAATGAGATTCTTATGCTTCAATATGGACAAATGGAATATGCCTTAAGAATTAGAGGCCTGGGAGAGTCTTTGCAAGGAGATCTGAAGGAGATGGTTGCAAAGGACTTTGCATTGATTTTGAATAAAGAAAAAGAGGGAATACTTAATGAAATTGAAAAATTATTTAGGGTTAACTCTGTGGTGGCAGCACAGAAGAATCTGCCAAGAGATGTGGTAATTTACTTTGGTAAAAGATCTTTACGCAATGAAATTGTGCAAGCCTATTATAAGAAGAGATTTCAAATTGCTTCACAAGATGTTATAATTTTTAAAGAGATCCCATCTAAAATTTTAAGAAGAAGAAAGGAGTTTGCTTTTTTAGCAAATGAACTTAAAAAGAGAAAAATTTCATTCAGATGGGATGTTCCGATTGGAATGGTGGTGAATTACCTGGGGACATGTTATAGACTTAATACTGTTTCTCAAGCAAAAGATTTTTATACTTCGGTCCTGGGGGTATGTGCATCGCCATCAATTAAGTTTAAAGCTTTGGAAGAAAAGAATGTAGAATCACAGTTTGAAGAGCCTATATTTATGAAAACTGGAGAATCTTTGTGTGAGAGGCCTCAACAAGTCCAGGTTGAGGAGCAGAAGACAACTTGTGCAGTATATAATCCCAAAGAAAAGCAGCAACAGAAGAAGGTTAAGGAAGTTTCATATTTAGTGGTTTCTGAATCTCTGGGAGATGTTAGACCTACAAAGTCTTTGGAGCAATCTTTAAGGGTGGAATTGTTGCCTGAAATGGAAACTGGGAAATCTCAGTCTGAGGGGCATCAACAATAGAGGATAACTTGTACAACTTACAATTGTAAATATCAATACAAGGAGGAATTTAAGGAACCCTGATTGGCTTCGGAGTCGATGGGAGATTCAGGAATTTTGGAGCAGTCTCCTAAGGCAGAACTTGCAGCATTTCTTTGAGTTTGATACAAGAATGGAGAAGGGAAATGGAAGAATGGAATAATGGAGAATGGAAAAAACTGGAATGTGAATAATTAATAATACTAATATAATTGAGATTGATAAGGATGTAGTTTATTACGGATGGAATTAGTTTGGTGAAGATTGAAATGTTTAATGTGTTTTTAACTTTTGTTTTAAGTTTTGAACCTTTAATATAAAAATTTTAAAAAAAAAAAAAAGGGATTAAATTAAAAGAATTTCTATTTTTGGAACTGAATTTTGTTCAATAGCGTTCCTTTTTTGTTTTTTTTTTTTTTTCTTTTTTTGGATAGGAGAGAAGATTATGAAGATTGAAGGAAATATGTACTTACTTTAAGTTCTTTAAGAGTATTTAGCTTTAATGGTATAACAAAGATTTGTATGTTTATTTTTTCGTTTTAGGATAAAGAAAGAGGGAGAAATTAGATTTTATATTATAGCTATAGATATTCAAAGAAAGTAATGTTTAAATTTGTGTTTTTGGAGGGAGCTTATATAGAATGATGATTGTATTTAAATTTGTTTAGGTTTTAAAAGTGTTTTAAGTTTTTTTTTTTTTTTAATTTACATAATAAGGGGGGGGGGGTGAGGTAGGGGGGGGTATGGGAAGGGGATTTGTTTTTGTAAAATGTAAAAATTTTCAATAAAAAAAAAAAAAAAAAAAAAAAAAGAATACATTTTTGGAACTGAATTTTTCAAGCGTTCCTGCAGAAGAAAAGAATACTGGAAGATGCTTCTTTTTCAAATACTATTGTTTAGTTGTTCTTTTTAAAATCCTAAATGATAAAAATTACATAATAAAATAAAATACAATAATAATACTTAACATAAAATAAGGCAGTACCTATCGGTTTTGTTAGGCTGTTAATGTGAATTACTTTAATTTTTAAAATTATATATTTAGAAGTGGAATATAAGTTGCACAAATGGCAGCATTTATGTAACCCAGTATTTCCCTTTACCACAAATTATTTTATAGAAATGATAATACAGTATTTTTGTTTACAGCTTACTCATTATTACAAGAATTTATGAAATTATGGAGATGTATCTTGGAACTCCAGGACACAAATACATCTCTTTTCCTACAAAATTTTTCTGTAGTACAGAGTTTTAAAACTTAGTTGAAGTATTTAGGTTCAAACAACGACATGTTGCATTGGATTTTTAAAAATAAATTCTAGTAATTCCTAATTATGTTATTTTATTTATTTAATTCTAATAAAAATGAGCAAGAAAAAATACAATAGAGTGGGATGTAAAAAGCAAGTAATAACATTCAAGAATGTTAAAAAGTGGTATTACTTGATATGTGTGTCTTTATATTTGTGTTTTCTTAATCTTAGCCATAATCCTTTGTAATCCGTCAGATGAAATGACAATATTAAATGCTTATATTTATTTATTTAAATATTGAAAAAAACTTCCATCCTGTTTTATGATAAAATGTCAAATTATGTGACTTTGTTCATTGTCAGGTGAGTTGTGTAACCTCATAACCCTGGATGTAGCCCACAATCAGCTTGAACATCTTCCAAAGGAGATTGGCAATTGCACACAGATCACCAAACTTGATCTACAGCACAATGAACTTTTGGACCTTCCAGACACTATAGGTAAGTAAAAACATGGTTCCCTCATTTATTAGATTTATATTCTGCTTTTATTTTTACAACTGAAACCATATTCTCTCTTTTTCTATTTTCCCAACAACAACCCTATGAGTTGGATTCGGCTAAGAGAGTGACTGAAAGTTACACAGTGGATTTCCATGCCTTGAGAAAAGCTAGAACTCACTGTTGCCTGGTTTCTAGACCAATATATTAACTACACCAAACTGGCTCTTTTTCTAGGTTTAAATTTTATGTAAACCACTGTGAGCAAAATCTTGCCTTGGCCTTATTGTTATTTTAGTACCTAGTCTCTTTCTGGATTACTAATGTTGTGCTAAGTAGCCAAATATAATTTTTAATTTTGTATGAGAAATTCCTTGTCCTCAGCAGTAGCATAACTTGTTTGATATGACTATCCTGCCAACATCAGGATTTTCTGGTTTCTTTCCCCTCCCGATCCCCATCATAAATCCTAAAACAACACAGATGATAGGTCATAGGCATTTTCCCTTTAGATATACTTTGCCCGAGTATTCCTAGAGAATAACTACTAGATACTAATGGACAGATTGAGGGCAATTGAGGGAAAGATTGAGGGCAATAGAAGAAGGGGACGACAGAGAATGAGATGGCTGGATGGAGTCACTGAAGCAGTAGGTGTGAATTTAAATGGACTCCAGAAGATGGTAGAGGACAGGAAGACCTGGAGGAATGTTGTCCATGGGGTCGCGATGGGTCGGACACGACTTCGCAATTAACAACAACAACAACTAATGGACACATCCCTCAGACTGAGAGTGATATGAAAAAATATTTTCAGTAACATGCTGAGATTTAGAAATCAGCTGACAAGGATTTGCCTTTCTTTTTCAGCAACAAACACAGTCATAGTAAGAATGCTTCAAGCTCTGATTCTCAAAGTATCCATAATATGACAAACAAGACCAGACTTGACAGATTGTTGCTGAGTCTCTAAAAGTAGAAGTAGCTGGTTTTTGTGTTTGAAATGCTGTTTAATGTAAAGAATTGTTACGATTGTATATAAAGACAGATAAGCAACACATATTATTTTATATATTTTAGGGAATGGTAAGCCACTTTGCAGCCTTACTGAAATTATCACACAGAGTATGTAGTAAACATAAGGCATTGAGAAGCAAATAGCATAAAAAGTCATTTAAGCACTGTCTCTTTTTTCAGTCTACAAGGGTCATTTTTTTTGGTTAGAATTGCTAAAATTCAGATATGATCAAAGTTAGGATTTGGGTATATAAATTAGAGTGATATTAATCAGTTTTTAAAGATAAGATAACCTTTATTGTCATTTTTATACTGTGGGCACGATGGCACATATCAAGAATGAAATTTAGTTGCCCGCTCTCAAAGTGAAACACATACATGACACACACCTAAACATACTATGAACAACATATGTATATATACGTAGCAAATAAATATTAAATATTGTCCATCTTGAATATATAATGGAAGGAGGAAGCTTGAGAGTTCGCAAGGTTAATGCTGTATGGAAACTCTGGCTGAATCTGGATGTTCTCCAGCATGTAAAGGAGTGTAGAATCCACAGATGGGTTGATTTAGTCTTCTAGCCCAATCAGACCAAACAATCAAAGTTGCCACGCCTCTGCAGGGTCTGACCATGCCCCAGTTTCGTTTGGTCTCAGCCCTGAAGAGACGTGAGAATTTGGCTCCCAATTTAGATTCAGAAAGGTAGTTATTGCCATTTGTGGATTCTCTAGCCTTTTTTTTCCTTCTTGGGGGGGAGGAATTGGTTCAGCTCTGGGCTCAGTGCTGCACCATTTCTTCTCTCTTTAATCAATTCCCTTCTCCGTTGAGTTTTTCAGAGGCAGACAGCTCATTACAGACAGCTGCCTCCTCATTACAATCCACCCCTCCTCACCCCCTCCCAGGATCTTCGCTGTGAATGCGAAGCTTTAAACTATTAGTTTTCGGCTGAAAACTCTGAATTCACCTTCCTGGGTTCATTACCAATTCAAACAACCTGTGGGGGCCATTTTGAGCCTCTAGAAGGCTCGATCCTCACATTACTCAAGTACTTCCTTGTTACTGTTGATTGTCAGCTGTAAATTACCCAAAAAACCCACAGGTGAACTGTTTGACTAAAAGAACTTATTACCAGATTACTTGCAGAAGAGGATCTTTTCTCTCAGCTTGTTTTATCTCTCATTAGATCGTCGCGGTCACCATTTTGGGCTCTGCCCGATCGCACACATTAAATTGACTATTTTGACCTAATTACAGCCTTTTCAGTCACAAAGCAACTTAGTTATTTGGTGATTCTCCCTACGTGGGGGGGGAATAGGAGTTCTAATTACACTCTTTTAGGTCTTCATTACCTCGTGCTTCAGCTGCTTAATAGGCGCCATCTTAGGTTACCTAGTGGACATAGGGAAAATACCTTGAGTCTCTCACTCCATTTTATCTGGTAATATTCCAGATTGTGTGACTTACCAGTACCTTTCAAATATCCAGTGCCAACAGATTGGACTGCTGCTTGCCTTGCCAGCTTTCCGCTGTCTGCATAGTGGTTGGCACTTACTGTCCTAGCCATCACTAAGGGTCAAAAAAAATTGAAAATTAATTAAAATAAAAAAAAATTAAAATAAACAAGATATATATCTATATTCATATATAGACTTATCTTTAATTGACATTTAATACTTTTTTGGCCAAATTGTCTCTCTATTACAGTGGGCCTGAGAAATTGAATGGGGAGGACAGTTCCTGAGCGTAGCGAGGCTTATATCGCGTAGTGACTCCGTGCTTAACGGCGGGCCGGACCTCACAGACCCTCGTGCAGGCCTGTAATCACCCAGGTGGGCCGTGGCCTTCCTTTGTCCTGTAGACCAAGGGCCGATCCAGGGATCTTCTGGTGAAAACCTGCCCTTTTTTCTCCTGCAGAATCCCTGGTGAAAACCTGCCCTTTTTTCTCCTGCAGAACAGGACTGATCCAGGGATCTCCTGGTGAACACCTGTTGTTTCTTTCCTATTGTTTATTTCAATATGGCGAATAACACCGTTTCACAGGCTTCCACCTCCAGTGGAAATGTAAAACGCAAGCCATCCAGTCAGGATACACCTGCAAAAGCCAAGGCCAAGGTCAAACGGACCTCTAAGGCCAATGACAAGCAAGCAGATAGCAGACATAGGGCGCTGGAGCGACAATTCTCCAAAGCCCAGTGACAGGCAGGAGAGACGCAGCTTATCCCCTCCCCTCCTCTTGAATCCACATCAGGGGAGCATCGGCCTTCCCCTTTTACACGGGCTTGGTCTCCTGAGCAGACCCTGGACCAGGGTTCTTTGCTGGGATATGAACGGGGCCATCTGTCCCTCTTTGACTGAGAATTGAGATTACAGGTCCAAGATTCAATTCCAGCTGCTGAGCCAGGACCTTCCTCAGTGTCTTGTGGGTCTCAGGGGGAGGTTACTACAGTCGTCCCTCCCCCAATCCCGTCAGCATCTTTCACGCTGACGGCGGGTCTTCGGGGCCCCAAACATCCTTCATTTACTGTCCAGCTCCAAGCCATGATCTCACAGGCAATGGCTCAGGCGATGGCGGCTTCAGGGAAGGCCATTCCGGTCCAAGGACCATCAAACCCCCCTATGCCCATGGAAACTGTGCATCCCAGGGAGTATGTGATCTCAGATCACGGTTCTCCACCTCAATCTGAAGGGAGCAAGATATCGGATTATTCCGCACAGATTCCGGAAGAAGACATGTGGTCAGATGGGGAAGACATTCAGGTGGAGGCCACTCCTATGGTAGGGGTGTTTAATCCAAATTCCTTCTATTCTCTTTTACAAAAGGCCTATGTCACCAGAAAAAATTGAACCGGTGAAACCACAGACGACAGATCAGGACTCTGGACAGAGGTCTGACCCACTGTATCTGGAACCGGTCAAGAAGAACCTACAGATACCTTGTCCCCCCATGTTTCTCAAATCCATTCAGGATCAGTGGGGATCTCCTGGAAGTTTCTCTGCTCTTGGGAGATTAGATCGTAAGCTCTTAGATACGGTCCCTTCCCTCAATGATGTCCTCAAAGTTCTGGGTGTAGATGAGGCTCTCGCCCTCATACTGTCAGACACCAAAATCCCAGGAGATATGTCGGAGGCCCTTAAGGCTGAGGACAAGAAGCCTGAGATTTCCCTCAAAAGGACCCATCAGGCATCGGCTTGGGCTATAAGAGCGTCAACATCGCATTAATCTGGCTCAGGGAATTACAGGCCAGAATATCCCCAGACGAAGTAAGGGTTCACCAGGATGTCACTAAACTAAGGGCCGCACTGGAATACATGGCAGATGTGTCTCTGCAGTCGGCCAAATATTTGGCTCGGGCCATAGCTTCCAACGTGGCCGCACGCCGCTTGTTCTGGCTAAAAAATTGGAAGGCCGATACCAGGCACAAATGGAGAGTAGCTGCGGCACCATATCAAAAGGGTCGCCTTTTTGGAGAGGCTCTCACTCCTTACCTGACTGAAAACAAAGAAATGTTGAAGGTACTAGCTCATATTGTCAAAAAAAAGGGCAGGCGTTTTTCTTCATACAACCGGCGTCCGTCGTTTAAGTCTGGCTTAGACCGAACTACCTGGAGCGGGTATCGGCCCTTTCAAGCAGGGCCGGACTGCTTATCGGACCGGTCCGGCTACAGAGACAAGCCAAAGCCACAATTCCAGGCTAAGCGGCCCTTTCGCGGCAGAGGAGGTCGTCCTTTCCGAAAGTCAAAGTGACTTGAGGAGGATTCCCCCCATTGGTGGAAGACTGGCACTATACTTCCACAAATGGGAAAGCACCACCACGGACAATTGGGTTCTAACCACTATCAGAGACGGACTGTCTCTGGAGTTCCTCACACTCCCCCCTCGGCGCTTCATCTCCTGTCCCCTATCCCGAAATCCCGTGAAACAAGGTCTCATGGAGGAGGCCATTCGTCATCTGTTAAGCATAGAGGCAATAGAGCGGG